GACAAGGGGTGCACCCCCACCCGGGGTCCTCCCAGTGGCTGGAAGATCATGCCCCCATGCCAAGCCTCAAACCACAACAACACCCTCCTCCTGGCACGTGGGAGGGCACCGGAACCAAGGCACGGATCAGCCCCACTGACCAATGGAAAAAACGGCTGGGCCAGGAAGAAAGCAACGGATTCGGTGCGAGAACGGGAAGATATATAAGCCAGGGCAACAGCCATTCGTGGCTCTCAGTCTCTTTGGCTGCTGCTGCGAGAAACACACAGCTCCTTGTCTTTCACGCTCACGGCACATTCCCCCCCCTTCCCTCCGGCGTGGTTCCACCCATTTCTCTCAGTGAGCAAGAAGGGAGGGAGTTGTTTTTACTTTTTTGTGTTTTTTTTTCAGAGAGACTGAAGGGCCAGAAGTGCTTCCAGGAGAGAGGGAAGGGGGAGAGACAGTTCTTCCTACCCTTCCCCCCTGCTCTTTCAGCTAGCCATGTAATAGAGAGAGCAGCTCTCTTTTCTTGTTTTTTTTTTGGTTTTTTTTTTTTTGGTGGTTTTTTTTTTTTTTTTTTTTGTTTTTTTTTTTTTTTTTTGTTTTGTTTTGTTTTGTTCTGTTCTTTCTTTTTCCTATTTCCCCTTTGTGTTATTTTCCCTGCTTGTCACGAGTTTCTCTGTATAATTTTGGGGTCCCTTTGGGGTATCCCGCCTTCCCCCATTTACAATCCTCTGTAATAAACTGTTCATTTGCTCTTAATTTTGTTCAGTTTTCCATCACCTTTACTGAACCTGCCCCTGAACGATAAAAAGTGGTTTAAACCACCACATTAGAATAATTGTATTTTTCACAAGACCTACAGTGCTTTCCCAGTGAGGTTAAAACACAAATTATAATCAGGGCCATTGCAATGGCTACCACAGCACAATAGTATCTGTAAACATACCTGTTTGCTATAATTTTTCATTCCACGTTCAGAGATCTCCAGTTTTTCCTGTAGCTCTGTTACTTCCGACTGAAGTTCATGAATTCTGAAATGCAGCAATATACTTTTTATGTGGATTCATGGAAGAATCATATGTACGCAACAATTCAATATTAGTATCTCGTCTTTGATCCTGAACATGTTTTTTAAAAAATAGGTTTTTTAATAAAAAATACTAATGTAGAAACTGTTGTTTGAGACATTGTAGCAGGTTGACCTTGGCTGGCTGCCAGACCCCCAACCCAGCTTGTCTCTCCCTCCCCCACCTCAACAGGATGGGAGAAAATAAGATGAAAAAAGGTCATGGGCCAAAATAAAGGCAGAAAGATCATTTACCAATTACTGTCACAAGCAACAGACTTGACATGGGGAAGATAATGTAATGTATCATCAATTACTACTTCACTTCCAACTCTTATACCTCTTCCCTATCCCAAGTGGTGCAGCACAGATGGGGTATGGATGGAGCTGTGGTCAGTTCCTAATACTTTGGCTTTGCTGCTTCTTCCTCTTCATACTGTTCCCCTGTGCCAGCATGGGTCAGCTCCATGCGGTACGGTCATTCAGACACAGACTGCTCCAGCATGGGTCCCTCACAAGCCACAGCTCCTGCTGGCAAGCCTGCTCTTGCACGGGCTGCTCTCCATGAGCTGCTGTTCCTCCCAGTAGGCTGTCTGCTGCACAGGCTGCAGTTTCTTTCAGGTCATATCCACTTGCTCGCTCCAGTATGGGGTCCTCCATGGGCTGCAGTGTGGATGTCTGCTCTTGATATGGTGCTCTCCACAGGCTGCACAACCTGCATCACCACGGTCTTCTCCAAGCGCTGCAGGGGCATCTCTGCTACAGTGCCTGAATCACCTCCTTTCTCTCCTTCTCAGCTGACCTTGGTGTCCACAGGGTTGTTTCATTTTTGTTACTCCTCCCTCTCACTGCTGCTGCACACATTGGTTTTTGCCCTTAAATACATTTTCACAAGGAATCCACCAGCTTGACTGATGGGCTCAGTTGTGACCTGTGGTAGGTCTGTTTTGAAGCCAGGTGGAAATGGTTGTGTCCAGCACAGGGTAGCTGCTGGTCTCAGACAGGCCACTCCTTCAGTCCCCCTGCTGCCAATACCTTGCCATGTAAATTCTCTACAGGTACATTCTAAGTAAGAAAAAATAATTGGCTTGAAAATAATACAGGTTCACAAGCCAAAAGTAGTATTACAAAAATCAAGAACATTCTAGTCTTCAAAAATAAATAGGAAAAAATAATTTTATTCCTATATAAAACATTACACCCCACTTTTTTCCAGAACACATGTTAAAATTTAGTATAACAGTAAAAGCAGTATAGGAAACCTAAGGGAAATTCTTGAAGGAAATACGCAGTTTATTAAATAGTCATTGCAACTTTGTTACAGGCAGCACTGTCAGTCACAAACCAAAATCCTATATGATGTAGGAACTATTCTGCTCTGCAAACATCATGAGATACCATTTTTTAAGGCAAATTAGAAAGGCAGGAGGAAGGTGGGGGTTGGAAAAAAAATCACTGCAGATATTCAACACCTACATTTCAAAATGTAGAAGTTCTTTAGATTACCTATTATCAGCCACCTGAAGAAGGTCTGCAATGTAAGGGTCCTCTGGCTGAGGAACTGGATAGGCACTAACACCCGACGGGGGGACAGGCTGGTCTATCTGCATGCGTTGACGCCTGAAGGGAATGCTCCTTTTTCGGCCACCTAAAAGCCCAAACCCAAAGGCCTATTACTTGGAGTTAAAGCAAAGGAATCGTCTTCTTTAATACAAAGTTAAATTTCCTATTTATTCCACTGCTTCTGAACTTGCATAGCTCACCATTTTAATCATACTGTAGTAAGTTGATAACATTGGAACATTCTAGTCACAGCCATTCTTGCAGGTTAGTATCAGTCAAAGTTAAGTTTTACAGTAAGGAAACATGCAAAGTTCAGTATAAGTAATTTTCTCCAGTGTTTAAGACCCCAAATACAGTTCAAACATGTTGAGTCTGCTAGTGATTTACCTTACTAAAAAAAGCTGAATTAAAACATCACAGAAAAGATGTTTTCACATTTAAAAACTATTTTATGAGTAAACTAACCTCTGCATTGTTTAGTAATGTGGGTTTTTTTCCCTTCTATCCTATTGTCATTTCAGTGAATGAGTACCATAAGCATAGCAAGCAGAGTAGGTTATTTGCTTGCATGGTAACCTTATATTAAAACCAAAGCAAAACACAGTATTATTTACAGAGAGAATTATTACTCTTCATCACATGATTAAATAAGAACATACAATATTTGATGACATAGTATAGAAAATCCCAGAAGACTGGCAACGATGGGGCAAGTGTGCAGAAAGAGAGACAAAAGTGTAACGTGGCATGTTTGAAGCAAAGGACTTGAAACAAAAAGGTGTGGAAAAATAGTGAGGAATTTTAATTTCACCTAAATACCTATTAATTTTCCTCATATGCAAAAAATACATAGGCAATTCAAGGACTTGGAAAGAGAAGACAATTTTGAAATTCCACAAAATACTTCACAGTATTGGGGGAAAAAAAAAAATTAAGAAAATGAAACCCTAGAGAAAGAAATTAACCTGAAAGGAATATCCAGAACATGAAGTTATCAAAAGACCTTTTAAATACTATTAGCGAAAGAAGGTTGGAATATTTCTTTGTAGGCATCTTTTGCATCTTGCTACTTTTATATCTTGGTTACAGAAATGTGAATTAGTCACAAATCAATTATTTTTCAAAAAGACTAAAGTGTCAAACAACCAGCCTCTGACTAAATTAGGTACAGCATTAAAAAAATACAAATAGCTGTTGATTAACAGTGATTTCCAGCCACATTTCAAGTTAATAGTTTTCTACTGCATATAAGTTGGTATTCAAATTTGTCCCTAACACAAGTGATGTGCTAATGAAACTTATTCCATACAGAGGAAGACTGATTTTGGAGACAACACTTTCAAAAGGTCATGTTGTTCTATTGGAGAGTTATTTTACTGTAGTAACTGCTCTTTCTAGAGAAAAAAGTACTATGTTCTGAAAAGACAAGAAAAACCCAGAGAAAAGTTAAAATATCTGCAATTATTTACACTCACCAGGTGTTTGAACCACTGCTTGCAGATTCTTCTCCTGAAGCTGCTGAATTTTTTCAGTCTTGGCTTTGTTCTCTTTTTCCAGCATTTTAATTTTATGTACATATTGGTTATTCAGAAATTTCAAGTCAGCTGTTTCATGTTCAACCCTCCTTAAGGCTGCTTTCAAATCTTCAAGGGAAAGAAAAAGCTATCTTGTCTTTCTTATTCATTATTGTTTTTCCTAGTAGCACATAAAAAGAATCCTATATTCTTTTTCCATAAACTCCACATTTTCAAATACACATATGTATATCTATATGCACAAAAATATGCATGTTATTAAAATAAAACCCCTTTGCAGAATAAAGGCACATTTAAAAGGAGTATTTAATTTTAGATTGAAAAGTAGCATTTCAAGGTATGAAAGTATGTGTTAAAAAATTCTAACGCTTTCATGCTGAAAACAGCTATTTACATAACCTCAGAAGCTTTTCAAGTACAAAAGAAATGCCTGTGCAACAGCCTTAATTCATTGAAGGCACCAAAATCAACAACCACTCACTTATAAGTACAGATAAATGAATCTGCACATCAAGACTCTGGCTGCAATTTTGTTTTGGCACAGAAGGATTAAGGATGACTATCATCATTTTGATATTACCTTTAACGTGATGATCAGATTGCTCTTTCAGTTTTAGGATTTCTAAATGTAGTTCATTATTTTCCTTGATAAATCGAGCATTCTCTGTTTTATAAGGTTCCAAAATGGCATCAAAACTGCTCCATTCTTTATCAGTTTTCCCAGCAGATAACTTTGCACTTCGCAAGCTTTCAGTTGTGTGAACTAAGTCACTAGAATAAAGGAGCATCAGACACATTAGGAATGTTATCAGCCTTTACGCTGCAGATGCAGAAGCAAATCTCTTTCCTGGAGTCCAAGTTAGCTATAGAACAAATAGGTTCAATGGAAGGCAAAGGGAACACTCATGTAAGAAAAAACAGAAGACAGGAATCATTCACTCAAAAAATGGTAAATAGGACAGGGCAAACATTACAAAAATTAAGGTAATTAGAAAGCATATCAGGAGTTTGTATCTGGTAATTCAATAAACTCTTTTCTGCATCAAGTGAGATAACCAAAATTTGCAAGATGACTTTTTCCTTCAAGCACTATTTAAGTTGTAGCACTACTTACCACAGAAAAAAACTTGAAATGAAAAGGCCAACAGGGTACTAGTATTTATAAGGCGATAAGAAGCTCACAACAGATTAGTGGTGAGTGGCTATAAACGTTTTTGCAACAAAAATATCAAAGTCAGTGAGTGAGAGATTAAACCTATTGGCTAGACACCAGAATGAGACTTAATGTTGAAGGCAGATTACTCAACATCTGCTTACCTATGGTTCTTCCATCTGTATTAGATGCTAGAGAGCAACAGAAGCAGAACACCTGCATTTTCATGTTTAGCCAAATATAATTGTATTCCTATGGAAATTATTATGTTCATAATCACATGAAAGCCATGAAATGGCAGACACATTAACAGAAGAAAAACAATTTTTTAGGTGACTTATTATGTATCCTTTAAAAACTGCAGAGATAGATTTAAACTTCTCCAAATGAGATCATAAAAAGAGCTGTGAATGTTTTAAGTCATGCTACAGACAACAGAGATTATTTTTTATACAACTGGTTATAAGAGTGTGTCCTTTAAGCACGTATCAATAGTGACTATTCTTTGCTGCCTTATGAGGTTGGAAAAGTTGAATTTTCCTAGACCATAGCTCCTCAGAAGCGATTCTACTGAATTAAATGAAATTTTAAGATGTTCCAATCACTTAAGCAAACCCCTTTGATGTCATCATACACAAGAACTAAATGTTAGCTCTGAAATAACCTTGCTTGAAAATAATCTTCAGACTAAGCATTCTCCCTTACATGTCAAAAATCAAGCAATACCTACTATCATTACTGGTTTTTTATGAATCTCCTTGTAAATACCTAAAAAGCTTTTCCACCAAAGGTAAACTCTCCACTCCCAATGGCTGCCGATAGCCCAGCTGATCTAGACGTTTCCTGAGGTTGATGAACCTTCGTTCTGCAGTTGTAGTCATTTTAAACACACCTCTGAGGCAGCTTCTGTCACAGTCAAGAACAACCGGACACCTGCAAAAGACTGACTGTTAAGTCATTTCTCATTTAAAGGAATACTACAGAAAAAAAAGTAAGAGAAAAAACATTCGTTGCGCATGAAACACACTACCTAAGCATATGCTAAAGATGTAAGTAAACCAAAAGAGAAACTAAAATTTCAACCATATTTTTGTATTCTTTCAAAAGAAATATTTGCCCTGGCAATTTCCTTTCTCTTTCCTGGCACCTTAAGACTACAATTTCTTTCCTGTATGTAAGAACTGAACTCTGAAAAGATTTTTTTTTTTTTTAACCATGGTCATCGTGGTATCTCCCATCGGGTAAATGGACAGATTATTCTAAAAATCCCCATCTACTTATTTCTTTCATATATCAATCTTACTTTCGAAGTTTACAATGAAACATTTAACATAATTTAGGCCAGCCTCTAGTAAAATTGCATAATGTGTAAAATTTCAGAGACAGTTTAGCTTTGAACATCTTTTTCCTAGGAAAGAAAACAGGAATGAAAAAAAAAAAGCACTAGTGTACTAGAAGAATTTTTACATTGTTATGTCCTTCTGGAGTAGAAAGATCTGTGAAAATACAGTTAGTTCTGTCAAACATTTTCCCTCACATTTCTTTGGAAGTTTCAGCATTGACCTACCAGCTGCAAAGACCTCAGCGGCCAAACTACCAATCTGAGAAAGCACTATTTGCATCCCCTCTAACAGAATAGAATACAGATATCATTTCAATTGTGCTGTTTCACAATCCCCCAGATTTTAAGAGGGTAGTCAAGAAATACACCAGGTATTTGAAAGTAAAATAATTTACAAATGATAACATGAGAAAAATGCAAGTTTTGCTTTTGTCTGAGACTGGAAAGTAAGATTTCAACCAGTCTAGCAACAGGACTGTGGTTGCCAGGTACCGCTCTGTGGATGATGGCAAATCATCATCAGTCTTATGAGCACAGCATCTGTTTCAGGCATTGCAAAATATTTGTTTGAAGAGGTTCAGGATGTAGAGATGTCACTAAGCAACAGCACGGAGAATAGTCCCTTAGATATTGTGCTGGGATGGTTGGAGGAGGTGGCAGTGGCACACGTCCTTCCACTCAATGTTAACTGTCAGTGGAACTCAGAGTGCTCGTGTGTACTAAGTGCTCTTCGGTCTCCTTTGGCAGCCAAGGACTAGAGCCAAAAGGGGTGAGACCTTTGTGGTTCTGCATGAATGTTGACAATTGTGTGCTGAATTCAGAAAAACAGTGCTTGTGTTACTCTGTCTACAGTTAGTCTCAGGCAGACACCTTTGATGACTACAGAAGTAAGGTGACAACTCTTGAGCCCATTTTCTACTGAAGAACCACCAAGTCAGTTAGAAAAAGAACCAGATTAATTTAAATTAGTCTAAAATCATTCACCAGACTTGATTTAACAGCCTGTGTTTTGGAAAGATTTTTCTACTAATTACATTGAGAAAGCAATACAGCTTTCTCACAGCTTGGAAAGGAATAAAGTTTTTCTATAGTAACTGTGAAGAAAATAAATGGACAGATGTTAGCCCTTCAGTAGCTGTGGCTGGGAAGCAGATACTGGAATTTGCTAAATCACTGCAGCAGACATTGAAGTGAGGTATAGTTACCTAAACAGACTCTAATATTGAGAGGTACCAACAGCTTTCTGGTTAAATCACTCCTGAGAGACTCCTGGGAATTTTTAATGCACGACTTCATTGTCATCAGAATCAAACAAGAAAGGGTATTAACTTCTAATTAGTCCAGTAAATGAGTAGCTGGAGTATAGGACCAAAAGATGTCAGGTAATGAAAGTAAGATGAGGAACTGGGGAGATTAACAAATATTAAAGTCTTCAAAGACAATAATTGTTGTACACACTTTGTTGCAGACATTCTGCTTCAGCAATTCCAGACAACCATAGCATATGTCTCAGATACTAAACTTAAAGTCCGTCACTAGTCTTATGACAGCAGGAAGCATCCAGTAACTTCTCCATCAGGAAAATTTGGTTTTCTGGAAATATAAAATGAATACGAGTTGCTGCACTGACTCAGTTGAATCTAACATCAGTCTGACCCAATACTTCATGTCTCTGACAGTTGCCACAGCAAGAGCATTAAAACATAAGAAACACAAGCCAGATCTTACTCCTACATACCTTCTCTTTCTATCAGCCTATAGTGCAGGCACTTGATGGGCCTCAAGTGGAACTTGTCCCTTGCTCTTTATCCCATTCTTCCAGATCACTAAGCAGTGTCAAAGAGTAGAAAATCTTCTGCACATTCACCAGAAGTTAACACTTTCAACCCCTTCTTTTAACCACTTAGTGAGCTCTTAAATGACCTTTCCTCTATGTCTGAGGGAGACCTGCTTTCTTAAAAGCCTTTGGTAAGGAACTTTCTCAAAAGCTTTTTGGAAATCCAAAGCTTCTAAATCATTCTTCTCCAGCCAGCTCAGTCCAGAACATCCTTTCCTTTAAAGAAACTTCATAGCCTTCTGAATCACAATCGAGTCATGATGAAAGATGTGTTGAGCTTCCTAGATTTATCTGTAAATTTGCTAAATACTACAAAGTGTTCTTAACAACTTTGCTATCTCCCACAAGATAGGCTGCATAAACAGTTCACATCCATGATCTAAATAGTTCATGCCATTTAGTGCCACTAGGAAGAAAATATAAGTTCCATTTTAGGTGAAAAACAGATAAAAATTAATGGTACTTCCAATCAGGCATTTCCAGTAAAACGGAACTTCAAACTCAGTTCTCTTAGGCCCTAAGCATAGAATCAATTTGCATATAACTGTGGGAAAAGAAGCAATGTTTGTAGGTATTAAGACTAAACATCAGAGGTGGAGTATAAGACAGAAAAGCTTTAGCACTCTGAAGCCCTCATTTCTGTCTGAAAACAAAGCAGCAAAATTCATGGCGAGTACAGGTCAAGAACTGTCCTGGACGCAATACTTGGTTATCAAAAAGAAAATGTAATAATCCAACCACAGAGCAAAGATGTCTATTAGCCATGGAAGACATAAAATTATCATTGAACCATGTGGGAGAAAGATAAAACTACACAGCTGGCAATGGAACACAAAGAAATTAGCTCCGACAAATCCATAGGCCATAAAATCAATTTCCTTGTTCAGTTTATAACATCAACACCACAGAATCATGAACTAGAGTTTCCAGCTCCAGTCTGGGAAACACCAAAGTGCATTTTTCATTCATCAGAACCAACAGCCTGCTAAAGTCCATGTGTGAAATATGTTCACAAAACATCTTTTCCTGCCCTGTGATTACTGGTCACATAGCTCATTCTGCTGTAACAAGCTAGTTTTGTGTTCACCTAGGGGGAAAAAGGCACTTCACAGACCAACCATCTGAGCACAGCAATGCTCTCACAGGTGCTTCTGTGGCAGGCACTGTGGCACTGCAGCCCGTGCTGTAAAACGCCGTGACCGCACCACCGTTTCCAAGATACGCTCAAGGAGCCTGCGCTTGTTTTGGCAGTCTGTTTCCACGTTGATTTGATGGGAGTTCGCTTCTGACTAGGTATTCAAATTCCACCTTTGCTAAGACGTGGCACCACTTTGCCAATAGATGGACAACTCCTGCTAGAGAACAGATTTCTTCTTGAAAGGGACACCCAAACCCCTAAGTCTCCATTTTGGTACAGGAGAGTCCCATTGATTCCGAGGCTGCTCCTCACGCAGCAAACGGGACGCCCTCGAGACCTCTCCGCAAGGCCAGTCGGCACCCACCGAGGGGCGGGCAGGCAGCCCTAGCTTTACTTTTCCCGCCCCG